AGTGGAGCTCTTCACTTTTCCTATCGATGTGTTCGACCTCAAAAATTAACCAGCTAAATAAAAAGGCTCTAAGATGAATTAACCAGTAAGCTCATACGACTGAAACAGACGTGTAATTTCAATTAGACAAAATAATGATAGGCAAGCAATATGACTCGTGTTGAAATAATTTCCAAAAGTCCATATTCTGGCTAGGTTTTTGCAGAACCACTACCAAAAGGGTCTGCCGACATACACTGACTTATTTAGCCAATCAGTGTACGTCCATACTGCCCATTTTTGAAAAAAACATGGACAACCAGTGCTCGGTTTCTAATTGTATTGGGTTTCGACAGAAGCCGCAGTCGTAAGAAGAATGTTTCGCCACAGGTCGCTGATCGTCCGTTGGATAGGTTACACTGTAGGCAGTTACTGTCAAGCTTTCAATTACAACGGTAAATCCGCGGGGGTACGGATGGCTATAGGCAAGAAATAAGTCCAACAAGGCCAATCTTCAATATGTGCCGATGCCACTTGGTCTTGAATTTCAAATATCCTAAAGAACTGGGTTGCCGGATATTAAATAAGGAGGGATTTTGTTGTAGAGCAAGTGCGGACAGGTGTCTATTAGTATTTAAGAGTTATTAGGAGAGTTTGGTAGATTTAAATAACTCAGTTGACCCAATTGGGAAAAATTCGCGGCCTCGGTGCGAGTCTACCCCAAGTGTGATTAAATTCACGGCTCACGGTGAACCTCGTAGCTCAATGATAGAGCGTTGGCTACACAAAAGCCTCCTCATTCCTATTGAATAGCAGTCCAGAATATTTGCTAACAAAGTTTTACACACTTCATTGCCGCTTAGACCCCATTTCCCGCACTAACAAACATATCCTTTTCCCAGATACAAGGGCCGAAAGTCGCACAGTTTCGCACGAGACATCCAGACCAGGACGTCCGCCGACTCAGTTGCACCTAGCCAGAAGGCGCGTCAGGGTGAACGTCTGGCGGACAGGATGAAGGCGATGTGCCTAGGTGGTCAGAAAGCCTCACCAGAGGTCTCACCTAACTATCGGTCGCGCAAATATGATCCAAGATCTAATTCGCAGTCACAGCACAAGCTGT